GTGGTCCTTCCTGGTCTACGTAACACTTGGTTAGTTCTTCGGGTTCTGTTAGCAGTCCATAGTACTTATTAGCAGTCCCTAGTGTTTGGGATTGTGCTGAGCCAGACCACGGGGGTATGAACAAGGTGGATTTGCAGGAGGCCAGCCACTGTACTGGCGTACTTACAGGAACAGTTGTAATTATCTGTGCCCTCTGGACTTAATTTGCAGGGGCAGGGGCAGGGGCAGGGGGACATATTTCAGCTAGTTTTTGAAGTAATTTCTTGGAGCAGTTTCTTAATTTGTGTGCCAGATGTGTTACACGGGACTCACCAAGTCTCCAGGAGACCTTCCCAGCTATTTATTGGCTTGTAAATGAATGTTCAAGTGTATTGCTTAGGTTCACTTGATTAACACAAGCAAGAGTTGATTTTAATACACTAATGCTCTTTCAGTGGCACATCTAAGAAATGCTAGACTCCCAGACCCCCGCTTGGCTAGGGAAGATGGTGGCAAGAGTATTGGAGGGGGTTGCGATTTCCTTCTCCAGGGGATCTTTCCGACCAGGGATCAAGCTCAGGTCTCCCACATTGCAGGCAGACACTTTACTGTCTGAGCCAGCAGGGAATCCCCATTAAAGGCTTGGAGTAGAAATGGTTTTGACCCTGGGCTCCACTCAGCAGTATGTCTGCGTGTGAAACATTCCCAGACTCTTCCCTCCCCTGAAACAGTTCTCTGCTGCTAACCTGGCGTGGCTTCCGCTTCCTGCTCTGTTGCTGGTGCTCTTGGCCTGGTTTCCGTGGACTTAGCAGCTGCTCGAAGAGCTGACTTAGTTACTCTCTGAGCATTCAGTCGGTGACGTGGTTGCTTTTATAAAACCCTTCCAATTAGCCTTGCTGATGGGAAAAATCACTCTCTTTACCAGTGTTAAAATTTCGTAAGGGGAAGATCATTTTCTCTTTGTTACCGATTTCCCCTTCCAAGGAATTTGGGAAAGCTTTTCCTCAACCAGGCCCAGTCACATTTGAATGACCTTGGCCAGTGTCCTACTTGGAACAGGCCCCTCAGAGCTGAGATGAAGCTAGCTGGGGGCCATGACTTTCTCCCCAGTCCCCTCACCCCCAGGATTTGTTCCCTAGATATTCATGGAGAGGTTAGAGGCGCTTGGTCCTTCTCATGTTGAAGCACCTCTTAGGGCAGGGAGGCTAGTATACACATTTTGCAGCTGGAAGGTCTGCGTGCCGAGGCCTGACTGCCATTCACTACCATGTGTTCTTGAATGAGTTATTACTTCAACTGCATGGTGCTTCACTTTTCTCATATAAAGTGGAGATAAAACTACCTTTTTCTTAATGTTGCTGTGAGGTTTAATATAAACACAGTGTGCTGAGTGCATCTTGGCTCATAATATAAGTGCTTACTAATTATTAGCTACAGCTATTATTATTACATACATTTTTATCATTGCAGTTACTTTCCAGGCTTGCAGAGGTGTGGTACAGTAATATTTTCCTCTCTGAGCTATGTCATTCAGTGAATTTTAACATCATTTTTGTAATGCCCCTGCTCCCCACCCTGCTTTGGGGCCAGCCTTTTTCCTATGGAAACATCGCAATGAAAATAGAATAGGCAAATACGTTTATATTACATATCTTCTTTACGTTTGAATTCACTTGAATATCAGGGCAGGACAATTTTTAGTTTGGTGAAAATTTAATTTTCAAATTTATTATATGATGGTTGTATAAGAATATTGTTATATTTCTTTGTTGGATCCCAAGAACACTAAGGCATTGTTTGTACCCTCAAATGGATTAAAATCTGTTTGGAAAAATGAGACAAATTCATATAGGAAAACAAGATTGCTTATGGTTCAAAGTGCCAAAGTATCAAGTACAGTTGTTAAGATAAATTAAATGAGATCCTTCTAGGCTGGTAGAGTTTAAAAGTAGGCAAGGCTTGATCTCAGCCCTTGAAGGGTGAGTTAAGATTTGGCTGGTGTGGGTTTTTAGGAAGGGCTGTTCCCGTAAAAGTGGGAGAATTTGGATAGTGGAGTTAGGGACCGTGGAATAAAGAATCAAGGGGCCTCTAGCTACTCGGTCCCTCTGCCCCTCTCCATTCCCCAGCGACGTTTTAGTCAACAGCCCACTCCATCATGTGTTTATCCCTCTTTTCCTCCTGAGTTCTTTGGGGCTTTATTTAGTCTTTTTCATACAACACTATGCTCTTTCCCCACCTCAGTTCTTTAGTAGAACAAGACACATTCCGTATACCTTTCTTTGCCTGGTATTTCTGAAGCATGAACACAAATACAAAAGAGGTTATTATTGTAATAATAAGGGAAATGGGGGTTAACAACTGCTTGATATGGATGTTTCTCATGGCCTCCCTTCCAGATGCCATTGTGGGAGTCTCTTCTAGTTCTTATCTGCTGTCTCTGGTCTCTCCAAGCCCTTGTCTCCAAGCAGGTCAAAACATTGACTTAAGGCTGAAGTTATCTGACTGAGCATCACTTCCAGGTGTGGCATGGTTCTGGTCTTTTCAGGAGTAGCTTCCTGCTCTTTTCTGGTGTTTTCTCTTTGTTGCCTCGGGCTGCACTATTCATCACTTAGGTTCGTTAGCTTGTCCCAACATTCTTGAGCCTTAGTGGAGGCTGCGTGTGCCCAGTTGGCCTCCTTAGATGCTTCCCCTAGGCTTCATGCCATCAAATCCTGGCCCAGCCATCATCACTTACGTTCTCCTTTGCAGGGACGGTCTTCTTGGCCTTGTATTTTAAATTGTTATCTAATTCAAGTCTTACTATTATCCATGGGCCCTTAATAATAAGAGCATCATCCTGCTTACTTTGCAAACTTGAATGTCAAAAGCACATTTCTAAGTGCTTTCAAAAATTAACTCAATTCCAGAGGAAGGTTGCCAACATTATATCAATTCCTGCTGCTTTAAGCCCCTGACAGATTTTTATTTGTTATATTTGCCCCTGATACATCCTTTAGAGAGTTTCTATTTAGGTTGAAGTTTCAATCAATTATTGAATTTTTTAGAAAGCAGTTTATGCTCTTAGTCTTTGCTCAGATTACCAGCTTTACCCATTTTTTTCAGTGGTCCCAAAATAAGAATCCATTACACATAAAATACACTGATTTCTTTAAGAAAACAAAAAAAAAAAAAACTTGCACCATTATTTCCTTTAATTAGAAAAAGCTTGTGTGAAACCAGGGGCCTACTTCTCTCTTTTTAAAAAGATTTTCTTTTTTCATATTTTTCATTATTTTAAATGAGAAAAAACTAAAAAAAAATTTAAAAACTAAAAAAAACCTAAAGTATTGGTCAATTCCAAACTCCTAACCAATTTGCTGAAATGTAGATATATACAGTAAAATACTTACGTAAGTCACAACCCATCATCATTAGGATATAGATTGTTTGAAATTCTCTTTCTGATCAAGCAATTAATATGATTTTTAACAAACAGTTGCTATATTATGGCAATAGAGACGCACTGGTACCAGCAATGGCTAAGCAGCATGTCTCTTTCATTGATGTTTGGACATTTTTGAATAGTCTTACGATTTTATTTGGTATATGACTTGAGACCTTTCTCTTTTACCATTTTGTTTAAAATTTGTATTTAATTTTGTGAATGTAAATACAGTTTTTTTCTTATATAAACCCTGCTCCTTCCCAGTCCTCAAAAAGAAAAACAAAAAACTTATATAGAGGTATACATATATTCTGTGAAGTCTGGGTGTTACAAGCCAAGAGATACTCTACTAAAAGCATGTTAACCCAGGAGATATTTTAAGGAATGTGTTTTATTATTGACAATTGTAAAACTAAAGCATAATTTAGAAGTCTAGGAAATAATTTCTTACAAGCCAAATGTAAGTGGGTTTTACATTATTTTATAACTTTGAGCTGGACAGTTGTATTGTTCTTCAGGGGAGACAAGGAATACTGACATTGGTCTGAGTTAGGGTATTTGAATGAAGAGTCTTAGAGTGTGTGCATCCCCAAATGTGATTTAAGGACACCAGTTTTGTTTGCATTTCTTTCAGGTTTTTAAATGCTAACATTTTTTATTATCCTGTGTTCTCTATCTTTTCTTGATTCTGTTAAATTGTGTGTCTAGAGCTTGGGGAAAATTTTTCTTTTAAGCACTTTTAATATTAACTCATTTTTCTAGTCTACTAGTCACTTTTTGTAACCCTCTTGTTCCCTGAGGGTTTTTTAATTTTTAAATACAGTAAGCATGGTTGTTTCGTGCTCTGACCGATACCTGAAACATTTCGGGATCTATTTCTGCTGTGGCTTGTTGTTACAGTTTTTCAGAAACATGTTTGTTCTTTCTCTCTGTCTGCCCTCTGTTCTGCTCAGTGGCCAAGGCCAACCTCCCTACAGCCTGGAGGAGCAGGGTGGGCTTATTACTCTAGTTCATCTTTATTCTGAGGAGTGGGGACCTTCAAGTTACTAGGGGAATGTATGCAACTTTGGTATCCTGTGTTCTGCTTCTGATTTGGCCCTGGTTTTTCTTACTATGTTGTGACTTTTGTTTTTAAGGAGATCTCTTTTTTTCCTGTTTTACCCAGTCATTTTAGTTGTCTTTAGTAGGAGGATTGGTCTGCATAACCCAGCCTACCATTACTAGAAGTGAAAAATCTTCCTTATTTGATCTTTAATGATACTGAAGTTCATGTGCAGATATATAACTGGGCTGCTTTAATGGATGATGGAACTGAGGCTGAGAAAAGTGTGGTGGTTGATTTCAGACTGTCCAGGTAGGTGGCATAGCCTGAGACTCATGTGTCTGAGTCTACATTTCCACCTTCGAGCCTTTTTCTGTTGGCCATCTTCTTCAAATTTTGAATGAACCAGGTGTATATTGAAGACATTTTAAAAGATGTAATGCTTTTGCAAGATCATTTACATAGATCATTGACTAATAATTATGTTGGTATAGCTTTTCCCAGATACGGCATTTTAAGTGAAAAACAATAATTTATTTCCCTTTTATTTTTCAGCTGAAGTGAGTAGTGAATACAGCATGGATAAGGCAATGGTTGAATTTGCAATGATGGATCGGGAACTAAACCATTATTTAAAGGCTGTGCAATCTACAATAAACCATGTAAGTTTACACCACTCACCTGGTTATATTTGGTTACAAGTGACTGACTTAGAAATAGAAACACAAAATCAAAATTCTTCTCTAACCTTTAATATTTTCTTATCCTTTCTGTGGTAGCTATTAATCTCTTCTTAATCAGGAAGTTCATAGAATAAGAATCTTAACTATTTTCCTAAATAGGTCACCTAGATTTAATTAGGATATTACAATTTAGATTTCCTTGCATTTTTTTGGTCTCAGATTTTATTAGTCAGCCCCCTTTGAATGTGAGTAGCTTCTTATAAAAAACTAAAAACTGCATAGAACTTGTTTTCATTGTTACATTTGTTTAAGCATACAATTTAGACCAGGTTTGGTTACTCATTGTCCAGCTGTAACTAATATGTAGCTATTGCAAAATTCATAGAATCAGATAATAGGGAAGAGTTTTAGAGCAAGTTTAAAAATGAAGCAGCTTGGCATTTCGTTTTTTTCCAGAAGCCAAACCTAACTTTGTTGGCTCCGGCTATCACAGGAACAACACATAAAGCAGTTAAAGGTGGGAACATAGCAACATCCTTTTCGGCAGTACCGTGTTGAGTAAGAAATGAGCAATATGATTGCAGTGATGTTTCTGAGAAGTGCTTTGTCCTCTGAGCAGTGGAAACTCCCCTTTGAACTGATTTCATATACCTCTGTAATAGGATGTCTTATACTTCTGGTTTCTTTATTTGCTTTTTGTTACTTGTATCTATGGGAAAATTCTAAAACTCAAATATTTTACAAGATTAGCTGCTGTTCAGTGGAAGAGAAATTTTTGAATATGATTTAATGCTTAAGCTATATTTAAGTGAGTATTACATAGTTATATGTTTGTGATTATATGCCATTTTTCTGAGTTTTTTCATCTTTAAAATTTTGTTTTCTCCTTTTTTTCTTTTGATGGTTAATATTTACTAAGTGTAGCATTTGTGATTATCTTAAGAATGTCTGTTTATATCCAAGTAATACACTCATTCAGCTTAGACAGTTCTGGTGTTTCTAACCATCGTGACTGTCTTTGGACTGTGAATATTTCTTCCATAGGAAGATATGAAAATGGTATCATATCTGGTCTTTGAAACTGATAGCAATGATTTTCAACTCCTGCTGACCCCTAGGACCAGCTAGTCCCTACCTGACACTAAAGAGATTCTGATTTCACCAGTCTGTCTGGAGCAGGATTGAGGCACCTGTATTTTTAAAAACCCAGTCTATTATGTATCCTAGGTTGACAACCAGTGCCTTAAAAGAACAAGGCTGTTTTTATAGAATAAAGTGAAGTGAAGTGAAAGTCGCTCAGTCGTTTCTTGACTCTTTGCGACCCCACGGAGTGTAGCCCGCCAGGCTCCTCTGTCCATGGAATTCTCCAGGCCAGAATACTAGAGTGGGCAGCTGTTCTCTTCTCTAGGGGAACTTCCCAACCCAGGGATCGAACTTAGGTCTCCCGCATTTCAGGCAGATTCTTTACCGACTGAGTCACCAGGGAAGCCCAAGAATAAAATATATTTGCTGCCAGAAATCAGAGTTAGACCTATGTATGGGCCGGTCCAGCATTGACCCTTGCATTCTGTGGAGGTTATTTGATAGGCTTTTCTGCTTTAACCTTGATGTTTTGCAAAGGAAACAGCACAGTGTACATTATAGATAAGAAAACAGATTTTAAAAGTTGAAGTTAATGTGGATTTTTTCCTATTAAACCTTAGAATTCACAGATATACATGATATTTTTATATAAAGAATTGGACTTTCTCCCCTTCAAAAAACTGAGTCACTCATAAAGGGGGAAAAAAGGAAAAGCAGCCCTCCCCTCACACATTTTCAGTAGTTAACAGCACTTCTTTCATCTTGAGACTTCATTCTGTTATCCCCACCCTACTAAACAGGAAAGATGGTGCTTGGAGTTTTATCCAGCTTTTCAGCCCTAACCTCAGCCTGCACGATGGAGCAACTTGGATTCAGTGATTCTAATGCTTGTCAGGAAGGTCCCTGATCTTTCATAAGAGGAGAGCATGTTTAGTTGCAGTTTTTTCTTATGCAAAGTTGTGCTTTCTGTAGAAGCTTGACATGAGACCAAGGATAGGAAATCATAATTTTGTAAGATTTCTAAGACCTAAAACCATATGGAGATGTAGTGGGGATATGACCATTATTTTGAGGGAAATATTTTATCCTCTTTATATACTATTCACTCTTTACGCAGTATGGAGTACTATCTTACTGCCATTTTATTTCTTGTTTTGGTGAGGGATAAAGAATGAATAGCAGCTTGAAATGGGTCAGAATGGTATAGTTCTTTAGCAATAGAAAGGGTCTAGGGAACAGAAACTGTTACAACTCTGGTGCTCCCATTTTCCAGGTTATGATCATGGGTCAAGAACCTTAACCTCTTGGAACCTCATGGTCTTCATCTATAAAAGTCTTCGCCTGCCTGTTTCATAAGATTATTGTGTTAATCAGATTAGATATTGTATATCAAACACTTTGACATTCATAAAATTTGATAGAGGTTAAGATAGTGTGTTATTACAAACCTGGATTTGCAAACACACTCCTGAGAAAGGTGGAACAGGATCTTTCTTAAAAACAAGTACTTTGCTCTCTTTATTTCAGGGCTTTGAATTAAAACTTTTATTGGCTTTAACCTGTCCTCCTTTGGAATCCAAGAATCATATAGGATTAGATTTTAGTTGATTGAGTTACAATATGAGGTGTTTATGATCTCTAAAACAAAGAAATTGTTTTAAAGCAAATTATTAAGAAAGAATGGACTTCCCTGGTGGCTCAGTGGTAAAGAATCCACCTGCCAGTTTAGGAGATGCAGGTTTCATTCCTGGGTTGGGAAGATCCCTGGAGAAGGAAATGGCAACCCACTGCAGTATTCTTGTCTGGAGAATTCCATGGACAGAGAAGCCTGGTGGGCCACGGGGTCACAAAAGAGTTGAATATGACTTAGCAACTAAACAACAACAACAATTAAGAAAGAACAGAGATAATAGGAACCCCTATGAGTCCTGTTTCACTTCTGCTCCCTCATAGGCTTTTAGGAATTGCAATACTGCCATTCCTATATCCTTTGCCAAGATTCTGGTCCTCTGTCTGGTCTTTTCTGTTTAAAAAAAATTTTTTTTAATCATCAAAGAGCATTGGAGCTTCTTATTTAAATGAAGATCTCTCATTTGCTCTCATCTTCACAGAATTCTGAAGGTTATAAACCTCTGAAAATGTTTTCGAAGTTTACTTTGGAACCTTAAAGGTGTGGCTCAATTTACCAGCCATGGCTGGGAAGTCCCTTTGGCTTTTAACAAAGCACTCAGATTGCCTTTCTTTGTCCTTTGAGAAAATAGAGCTGCTATTTTCTACAATGCTTGAAGATTTTATTTGGAATCAGTATTTATTTCAGTGCTCTGAAACAAAAAAAGAAAAGAAGTAAAGGCTTTGTCCCAGCTGTTCTGTAGAGGGAATATGACTGCAGTGAACACTAAAAAACCAAAATTCCCAGGCAGTCCGTAAGTCATTTATAAAAACCTTCAGGGTAAATGGGTTATATACCTGTCACAACTCTTTAAAACATGTTAAACCACAAACAATTTCAGTAGGAACTCTATGGAGATTTTCAGTCATGAGACCACACATGTGATGAAAGTGTTTTGAAAGCTATAAAATGGCACATAGATATGCTATGATCCATTTACTTCTTTTATCGCTGTGACTGCTAAGGAAAAACTTTTCTCAGTTTCATGTTGAGAACAGAGTAATGTTCTGAACATTAGCTTTTGATGACCTAATGTTCCCTTTCTTGATTTCTAAGCTTTTATTATTTGAGTATTTTGAAGGGCACCATTGGCTGGCTGCTTGTTCTCAAACGTTCACTGAACACATGTTTTCTAAACACCTATATGCCAGATACTTCTCGGTGCTAGAATCTGGAGGTCAGTCAGCAAAGCCCACATGACCTCACCTTCAGAATGTCTGAAGTCTAGAGAGGGAGACAAACATTTAACAAAGAGCAGTACAGTCATTATTTAATGATTGTTGTGCTGTGTACTGCAAAGGGAAAATAAAGTTTTTAAGGAGAGTTATTAACTCAGGGGGCATAATATCTTCTGGGCAGTGGGTTGGTGGTTAGGGGACTCCTTCCTGATAAAGTGATATTTAATCTAAGATGCAAGTCTGATGAGCTTCAACATGGGGATCACGACATATAACTTCCCCTGTCTGTGTGACTTTTTGCATGAAATGGAAGCATCTCTTTTTTTCCCTTCTCCTTGATGTCAGAGTTTCAAAGTGCCTTGATATATCCAAAGACTTAATTTGAGAAAATTGTCAGAGAAAGCCTGCTTTTATACATAGAAAGGTTAAAGTCTGTAGAGTAGCCGAGTAACCTACCTAAGGTTGGTCAAGGGTTCATTCATCTGCAGATGTGAGTGCCTGCCATGAGCCAGGAACTGTGCTTATTAGTAAAGCAGGTTATGGCAGTAGGCGATTTATTAATAAGAATAATTTCACTGCTGATACTCTGCTTCTCAAGCCATTTTACTGGTTGCAGGGATTATCCCTCTTGAAGTGAGACTTTTATCATGTATCGAAAAGTGAAAGTGAAAGTCACTCAGCCACATCTGACTCTTTGCGACCCCATGGACTACACAGTCCATGGAATTCTCCAGGCCAGAATACTGGAGTGTGTAGCCTTTTCCTTCTCCAGGGGCTCTCCCCAACCCAGGAATTGATCCAAGGTCTCCTGCATTGTAGGCGGATTTTTTTACCAGCTGAGTGACAAGGGAAGCCCAAGAATACTGGTGGGTAGGCTATCCTTCTCCAGCGGATCTTCCCGACCCAGGAATCGAACCAGGGTCTCCTGCATTGCAGGTGGTTTCTTTACCAACTGAGCTACCAGGGAAGCCAATTCCATGATCAGGAGCCCTTATTCCATGTGTCGAATAAGCAGTGGTAATACTGTGTACCGTGTACTTCTGGTTCTG